TCAGCGCTACTCCAAGTCCGGTGTCGGCGGCGTCGGTCTGCAGAACAAACGGTTTGCTGAAGTCGGGACACGCTAGGACTGGGGCTTCAGTGAGACTATCCTTCAGAGCCTTGAAGGCGGCTTCTTGATCTTTAGTCCACTCCCATCGGCGGCCCTTCTTCAACAAACGGTTCAGAGGGGCGGCAATCTTTGAAAAATCCGGAATGAAACGGCGGTACCATGAGGCCATTCCGAGAAAGCGCCTCAGTTGTCGGAGGGTTGTCGGCGGCGGTAATTGTTGAATCGAGGAGACTTTTTCCGGGTCGGTACGGATTCCCTCAGAGGTGATCAAATGTCCTAGGTACCTCAGCGTTCGGCGGCCAAACTGACACTTTTCCGGGTTCAGTTTGAGGTTAGCGGGTCTTAGCTGGTGGAATACTTCCCGCAGCATTTCCAGATGGTGCTCGAACGTCTCCCCTAGCACGATGATATCGTCTAGATATGCGAAACAGTAGGGGTCTAGGTCTGGTCCGATGATGCGATCCATTAGCCGTTGAAAAGTGGCTGGGGCGGAATGTAACCCGAACGGCATTACTCGGAAATGAAAAAGTTCCCGGTACCTTACGGTAAAGGCGGTGATCGGTTTGCTCTCCGGTGACAACGGAACCTGCCAGTACCCACTCTTCAGGTCGATGCTTGAAATGTACGAGCACTCTGGAGTTTGTCGAGGATGGCGTTGATGTACGGCAGTGGGTAGGCATCTTTCCGAGTGACGTCGTTGACCTTTTGGAAGTCGATGCAGAAGCGGTACTTCCCGTCTTTCTTCTTGGTCAAGACGACTGGTGAGCTCCATGGACTGTCGGACGGCTCAATCACCCCCTCGGCAAGCATCTTGCCAATTTCGGTGTTGATGACGCTCTGCATGAACGGATTTCGGGGTCGGTGCCGTTGCTTGATGGGCTCCGGATTCAACAAATGGATGTGATGTTCGATCAATGGGGTTGTTCCGACAATGTTGTTAAATCGCGGAAGCTCTTCGTCCAAGAACTTCTTCAGTCGGAGCTCTTCGTCGGCGGACAGGGTCAACGGATGAGAGGTTTGAACTTCGGCGAGGGCAACCGGATCGGTGGCGGTGTTCGGTCCGGTTATGGGCTGCTCGTTTAAGAACACGATTCCGGTAGTTAGGTCTAATTCAAACCTCTGTCGGGTGAGCACGTCCATCCCTAGTACAATCTCGGAGGCCAGCTGGGGCAGATGGCAAAGTCTCTCGGTAACGGTCGTGTTGCCAATGACCATGGGTACGTCGTAGGCGGCAGTAAGAGTACTTACTCTCCCATTGGCCATTTGCACCGAGCGGACGGTCGGTTTTCGGCGGGGAGGTCGACGTTGGCACGCTTCGTCTAGGCGGGCTGCACCGGTGTCGACCAAGGCTGTGTAGCGGTTTCCGAAGATGTGAACAAAAATCTTTGGCCGGTTGTCATCGTGCGAGTCGGTTGATGTGCACGGAGCGGTGTCGGGCGGCATCTGCACAAGCTCCGCAGCTGTGCGGTGCCCCTCTAGTTTCCCGAGCCGCATGCGCAGTCTTTGGACATTACGCCCCCTCGACGGCAGCGGGAGCAGAAGATTTTCGGCTTTCCTCTGCATTCGGTCTGGAAATGTCCGGTTTCGCCACATCTCCAGCAAACTGGAATTCTCGGTTGTTCGGTGGTGTTTTGGACGGGTCTTACGGTCGGTTGAGTCGGTTTTGGGGCGGCTGGAGATGAGTGGGTCGGAGGCGAGGGTTGATACGGTGCGGTGTTTTCAGTCCGGGTCGTCCTCTGCGGGCGAGAGGCGGCTTCCTCTTGGAGTAATAGTCCATACTCCCGGACGGCTCGTGTTAATTCCCCTACTTCGTGGAAATCGGAACGGCGCAGGTACAAACGGTACTTCGGCAGCAGGTTTCGGTATACCCACGAAAGCTCTTGATGCGGCGTGAAGCGGCCGTAGCGACGCATCAGTGTTTGGAGGTCGGTTACATAAGTGGTGTCGGGCTCGTTGGGTCGCTGATGTCGGCGGCTAATCTCGGCCTCGAGGTCTTCGTAATAATTTACCGGAAAGTAGTAGGTCCGGAACGACTCAACGAAGTCTTCCCATCTAGTCCACATGTGTCGGTTGTTCCGGCACCAGAGAGCGGCTTCTCCCTGGAATAGTCGCGGAAGGTAGCCCAGCACCTCGTCGAGAGTAACTTGCTCGGTGTCGCAGGTCACTTCGAGGGGTTCGAGAAATGCTGCCGGGTCACCTTTTCCATTAAAGCCCACATTCAACTTGTGGACTTTCAATACGGGGTCATTTCTCCCGTGTTGGGTGTGGGGCGGGGTGGGTGAACGGTTGGTCGGCGGCGGTGAAGGCGGTCGAGAAGCGCGGGGTTCCTGTCACTGACGGTCCGGTGGTGGTAGCCCAAATTGGGCTGGGGCGGAGTGCGGCTGTCGAAGTGTGGCAGGCTGTTGCGGTGATTCCATCGGTTGCTCGAAATGTTTCGGTCTTTCCGGATTTGTCTGCCCGTACTGGAGGAAGTCCCGGCCTCGTTTGTGACGTTCTTGATGGTCGATGTCGTCCGAAGTTGAAAGTTCGACCGGATTTAGATGTTTCGGGCGAAAGCTCACCAAAAGCTCGAAAAAGCTCAAAAGCTCCGGGAGCTTTTTGTTTCTCGCGAAAAGTGAGCTTTGAACGCTCGAAAGCTCAAAGCTCGATCTTGGGTGAGCTTTGGGGGTGGAGCTTTCTGGTTCCGGTACTTCTCACCCGGGCTGTGTCGGTTTCGGGCGAGCTTTTGGGCTGACGTCACGGGGAAGCTTTCTGGGCGTTCTGCTGACGTCACGGGCTTGATGCGATGATCCGGTGACGGATTCGATGGCGGGGGCGGTCCGGTACGGTACGGTTACGGTTACGTTACGATTACGGTTCGGCGGCGGTACGGTGACGGTTACGGTTCGGCGGCGGTAACTCCTCTTCCTGACAAAACGGTCCCTGCTCGGGCGCCAAATTTGTGACGTT